TTTTAAAAAAAATCTGTTTGAGCACCATGAGTGCATCATGCCTGTGTAACCCAGTGTTTCAGGTGACCAGCCTTTGTGCTCCTCAGCCTACCTCTCATTTCCCTTTGTGCATTAAATAGTATTCTAAAGATATTGTTTTGCTCTCACTGGGACAGTCTTATCAGTAGCTGTGGCTCTGTGGTCCCTTTGAGCTGAGCCCCTCATGTGGCTAAGGAAATGTCTAGGTACAGGCCTTACACCATCTCACTGCCTCCACCAACCTTCTGAGACCCAAGCCAAGGATAGAAATGCTTGTGTAGAAGGAGATGAGATCTAGGCTCCCTCCATTTGCCACATCCAAGTCACTGACACAAGAGCCGTGGGTGAGGTCAGAGAAAATCCTGGAAAGCAGCGCTACCCGGAGTACTGGGACTCTGGCCAGCAGGGATCTTGGGAGTCACGTATGTTCTGCATCCCATGTGGGGAGCCACCGAGTTCCTCGACCCTGAGCATGAGGCCTGAGAACAGCCGGGGCCACGCCTGGGACACTGCCCTGCTCCTCATGCCTGCTCCACACCTACAGAAGGAACCCGCTCTGTGGATGCCAGCCTGGTCAGGGACAGAGAAACGGCAACCGTTCCTCACAGTGGCTCGTGAGAATTTTTAGGGACTTGTAGGAATGTGTTAACTTGTTAGTATAAACAATCTGCAGGTGGTGTTTTTCCACTTCGTTTTTCTGTTCTTCTCAAGGATGGTGTGTGAGATTTGTTTTTTTTAACTAGCCAATCAAGTAGAATGTATCTTACTGGTCTATGCAAGCCGGAGAATCCTTTGTATTAAAGCTTCTTTTTCTCCTCTTGCAATTTGGTCTCTCATCTGTTCTTGTGTAATTCTTGGAGCAAGGAACTGCTCCTGTTCTGGCACCTGGGCAGGAGCAAGCCCCCTACAAGGTGCGCACAGGGCTGACCTCAACTTTTGCACATGCAGAGCGCTCCTGGAAAAACGCGTCTGGGCTCAGACTCATTTGTGCCTGCAAGGAAAGCCCAGAGGGACGGGTGTCTGCAAGTATTTGCACGGTGTTTCTGTGACTACAGGTACTGAGTGGCAGGCCAGGTGTGAATAGCAGCGTCCCTGGAGCTCTGCACCCTCAGCAGATGAGGCCAGGAGTGTCTACACAGACCTGCTGCAGGCAGAGCCACCACTCTTGGCGCCTCAGCAGCTGCTGCTGAGCATCCAGGGGCTCGGCTATCCAAGCAGCACTGATGCCACCATGTGTTCTGTCAAGTGCAGCATCCACACAGGCAGCTGTGCCTTTGCTTTCCTGGGCGTGTCACCTGCCTGTGAGCATTCCCTGAAGTGACATGATCTGAGCACATGAGCTGAGGCTGGGTTATTGGAGACAGATATTATTTCAACACAAAGCCGGCACAACTGGATCAGTCACAGGGTTTTATTCAAAGCCTGGATTACATCATCTTGACCCGTATTCATCTTATGGATCCAGGCAGCAGAGCACATTGTTTATCCTCAGCCAGCACCTGCATTTTTGATCCCTTGACAGAATCAGCCAAAGTGCAAAGAAGTGGATGTACCTCTGGCTCCACACTAGCCATGCGAGCACCCCACACCTCTCCCATGAGTGTGTTCATCCTCAGCCCAGAGAGCACGTGAAGAGTGAACCAAGCTCCTGCCTGTCATCCCTTCTGCTCTATGTGCCCTGCTGTGGTACTGCCTTTCCCAGCTCATGGATAGCCCTGTTCTCCAGCACCTTTACCTTCCCCTCTCCTGGCTGCAGCACACAGGCCACCATAGCCTTGGCCACCAATTCCACAGGCACTGAGTAAGCGGTGGGGAACAGCCGAGCCACAGCACCCAAGAACTGCTGGACTATCCACTCCATGGGCCGGGACTCCTGGCGCTTGCACAGCAGCACCCTGAAGAGCAAGGAGGTGAGGTGGGTCAGCATGAAACAATCTTGGGTGAAAGCTAGAGACCGAGTTCTCCAGCTGCACCAGGGCCCAGACAAGCTCCCTGAATTGACATGGGCTTTGGCAGGGTCATGGAACGTGACAGAGGTGGGCCCTTGGACACTAAACTGCTTTCCCCACTGTGTTGACAAAAGCAGAATTCCAGTTCTCCTAGGTAGCAAGAGCACAATACACGTGAAAGGACACAGGAGAGTGTTCCCTCTGCATAAGGTCAAGGTCCATCTGGAGTTAATCTCTGACCTATGTGCCTCAACCTGTGCTTTCAGCCCAAGGCTCCTGTCCCTGCATGGCACATGGCACTAGCAGTGGGATGTGCCATAGGAAACTGCAGAGCTTACTCCCTGCAGCACTGGGAAGCAGTCTGCTCATCCATGAGCTGCATTTGCAGCTGCTGGCATTCTCCAGTTCCATCCCTGGTCCTGCCCTCAAGTACCCTTTCTCTTCCTCCATCTCCCAGTGAAGCATTTCCCTGCTGCCCTGGCAACCCTCCACTCTGTGCCCTCCCTCCTCTACCAGTACTCACGCTGGCCGGAGAATGGTACAGTGATCAAAACCAACAGCCTGGACCAGGTTTTCCACTTCTCCCTGTCAGAGCAGCCAGGCAGGACGAAAGGAGACAAGGATGACTGCAAGCACCATCTCTGCCACCCCAAGAACCAGCAGGAAAGACCTGCTGAGCCAAGGGCAGGATGGCACTAACACCAATGTGAAGCTGGAACTGGCCAGGCAGGGAACAGCTCTCCAGGCTAGGCAGCCGGGGCAAGGGCCTGTGGTGGACATGGACCACAGGTCAGCAGTGTGCCCTTGCAACCATCACGCTAAACTGCAACAGGCTGCTCCGGAGAGCACCTGGACTCCGCATCCAGCCTGGGGATGGATCAAGGTGGCACAAGACACTGGCAGGCAGCTCTAAGTCCAGCAGGTGTTGGGAGCTGCAGCACACAATATATGGAGAAAAAAGCTTTTGTGATGGGTGTGGTCCTCCCTGGGGATCCTGCGGGCTTTCCATCACGAGATAGGTCATGCCTCACCTGGACACAACCCTGAGCCTCCCCACACTTCTGTGAAGCCATCCCAGCTTAAGGCTGGGGAACTGTTATTGGGCTAGAGACCCCAGCAGATGTTTCTGGAGTTTGAGGAGGAAGGCAGACACTGCATGCAGATGTTGTACTGCTTTATAAGAAGCCAGTTGTATAGCTGTCCAGTCAGCCCCTTCTCTTGTCCCGCAGCAGTGGGAGGACCCTCAGAGCCATTTGGCTCTCTAAACCTCAGCTTCTGCTTGCTTCCCACGACTCCTGCAAGAGCATCAGGAGCCCACCCCAGCAGCCCCCTCACCTTCACGCGGAGGTAGAGGAAGCGGCTCTGTGCATTTGCCCCTCGGGAGGACTGCAGGACAAAGTGTTTGCAGCCCCCTGCCCGCGCCAGCTCTGCTGCCTGCGCCACGTAGTCCCGATCCACGCGGACAAAGCCATCCTGCGGGGGAAGAGGAGGGTCAGCGGGGCAGGGAGCGGGCAGGGGAAGGGACAAGAGCGACCCCTGCTCGCCCGGGGGTCAGGGGGTCTCCACTCACTGCGCCAGCCTTGGCCCTGGTAGTGCCCAGGCAGCAGAAGCCCACGTCGTGTCCCTGGAAGGCGGCGGCGTGTTCGCCCAGCCGCTCGAAGTCCACCACTGCCTGCTCCTGCGGGGAGGCCGAGGGTCAGCGCCGCCGTCCCGGTCCGGCCACCACGGCCCGCCCCGGCCCGGCCCGCGCACCACGGCCGCCTCCGCCTCGCCCAGGCTCAGCCGGCGCCGCCCGATCAGCGTGACCCGGGCGAAGGGCCGCCGGGCCAGCAGCTCCGTCAGCAGCACCCGGCCCGTCTCCCCGGAGGCGCCCAGCACGAAGCAGCTCCGGCCGCCGCCGCCCGCCGCCGCCATGCCGAGAGCAGCGGGCGGGGCCGGGCCGGGCCGGGCCGGGCCGGGCGGAGCGGCTGCGGCTCCGCGGGCGGGGCGCTCCGTGCCCGGGCAGCCGCGGGCGGACGCCACACGGGGCCATTGCCGGGGCCAGGGCGGGGCTGTCGGGGCGGGGACAGCCCCAGAGACCCCCGCTCAGCCCGGCCGCCCGAGGCGCAGGGAAGGTGCCCCTCGGCCGGTCCCCGCCGGCTGTTCCTGCAGTGGCAGAGGCGAACGCCCCCGGAGGATCCCTGTGCCTGCCCCGCTCAGGCGGAGGGGATGTGAGCTGGAGGGATGCTCGGAGGGGTCTGTCACCTGTCCGGCGGCTCCTCTCCAAAACCCGCTGGGTTCAGCACGTGCTGCCGACCGGGGTGCTCGGCAGCTCTGTCCCCTGCGCAGGAGGTGGGTCACTCTCCGCCGGGCAGCCTTGCAGTGACCCCAGTGTGAAACAGTCCCTGGTGCCTGAAGAGCAAGGAGATGAAGCCCACTTCCTTAGGAACTCTCGCTGAGCAGGTCTTGGGATGTGCTGGCAAGCACAGACCCCCACTCCGTACACTGTCTGTGCGTTGTCTCTCTGATAGAGAGTCCTCGCCGGGGCGGTCCAGGTCCCACCAGGACACAGCTCTGGAGCAGGCACGCAGGCACCCCGCGGCTCTGCACAGCCACTCATGTGGGCAGCATCCAGGAGCCCCGCAGCACCAAGATCCCGTTTGTCCTGATTCCTGGGGAGGGAGGTGCAGAGGCCTGAATGGCTGCTGTCGGGATCAGCCAGGTGGTTTTCCAGCCTAGTGTGTCTGTCAAGTGTGCGCCTTGGCCGAGGGCTGAGGATGAATCCCACGTGCACGTGCCACTTGCGAGGCAGGACGCGCGTCATGACAGTCACCAGATTAATGGCTAGCATCCCGCTCCACCGGCCAGTGTGCCGCCGGCACCCACGGCCGTGCCCTGCCCATTGGGCTCTGCTTTGCATCCACAGGCAAACCCAGGTGGGTGAATGAGGGGGAGGCTGGGGTGTACCAGGGCTCGGGGGTACTGGGATGGGTGCTTGAGAGTGGTGGGGGAACAGTACGGTGGACAGAAGTACAGGCAGCAAAGTATATGGGGTGTATGTGGTATGTTATAAGGTATGGTGTGGTCTAGGGTTTCATGGTACCATGGGGATGCCACTGGGGACGGTGGGATCAAGATGCATAGGGGCCATGCTCCCACCGCTCATGGTCTGCTTTTCCTCCACGGCAGGGCTCCGGGGGGCCAGCTGGGTGCCGGGGTGCCCGCTCCCACGGTGGCATGGAGACATGGTCCCGGCGCAGCGCTGCCTTCGACTGCGTGCCCCAGCCGGCAGCCTGCTGCCCTGACTGGATGGCAGAGCTCCCCGATGCCCTGCCCCTCTCCCACCTCTCCATCCCTGGCACCCATGACTCCCTCAGCCTTTTCGGTGGCCGGCGCCTGCGGTGCCAGAGCTGGGGCCTGGAGGCCCAGCTGGCGGCTGGCATCCGCTTCCTGGATGTGCGCTGCAAGCTGTCGCGGGGTGAGCTCCGCATCTACCACCTCTGCACCTTCCAGCGGGCCAGCCTGCGCGGCGTCCTGCGCCGCACCCTGCACTTCCTCCGCGCCCACCCCAGCGAGGCCGTGCTTATGCGCATCAAGGAGGAGCTGCCCATCTTCTCCCAGCCTGGCTTCGCTGCCCAGCTGCACCGCTGCCTGCTGGAAGAGGGACAGGGCTGCGTGTGGTGCCGGGAGGAGGTGCCAACGCTAGGCCAGGTGCGCGGGAAGATCGTGGTGCTGGAAGCGCTGGCGCGGGAGGTGTTGGGCATTCCCTATGAGCAGCTGAGCATCAGCGATGCCTGGAACGTGCTCTCACTGGAGCGCAAGTGGGCCCGGGTGCAGCGGCACTTGGAGAAGGCGGCCGGCGGAGACCCCACCATCATGTACCTCACCTTCTGCTCCGGCAATGGGCTCTTCACCTGCCCAGAGGAGGTGGCCCGCTTTGTGAACCCCCGCTGCTGCCAGCACCTGCGGCGCCGGGGCGGGCAGCCGATACGCTGGGGGGTGGTCATCATGGACTTCCCTGGCTCAGGCCTTCTCCGGCTCATCGTGGAGAGCAACGGCCCAGCGGCCCCCAGCACCCCCGGGGCACCGTCCCGGCACCGCCGCGGCAGGCAGGACAGACGCCGTGGCCAGCGCAGCTCGGCGCGCTGGCCCTCGGGGAGGACACTGCTCCCGGCCCCGCGCCCTGCCGGAGGGCCTCAGTGCCTGGAGGGCAAAAGCGGGTTCCCAGGTCCTGCGGAGCACCGGCAAGCCTTCGTGTGACAATGGTGTGACAGCCGCAGCGGCAGCAGAGGAGGGCCGGCTGCCCGGGGAGCTGCGCCCTGCCCTGAGAAGCCAGGTACGGTGCCGGTACGGGGCTGGGCCACCCGAGTCCCACAGGGCAGCAGGGTTGGGTGGGGGTAGAACGTCCTGCCTCACCTCCTGTCGGGCCAGTGAATCCTCCCAAGATGCCTCTCTGCAAAATAGTCCTTTTCCTTAAGGGTAAATAAAAATAAAAATAAGCTAGGAAAGCACTGCCGATGTTCCCTTGCCATTTCCTGTCAAAAATGTGGAGAAAAGACCTTTTGCTTTTGCTGCTTAGATGTGGAGGAGCCTGTAGCCCTTTGCCCATGGATGAAGCACAGTTAAATTTTTGTCTGTGACCATCTTGCCCTTAAAGCAGAGTTGCAAGAGGTCACAGGAGTAAGAAATAATTTCAAAGGTGACAACAGGGGGCTAGGAACATCCCTCCCCTCACTATTTTAGCTTTTGTTTCTTTCTTGCAGGAGCTTGTCCCAGAAGTCAGGACTCTTAGGCGGAGTCAGGTTCAGCAAGGGCTCCACCCTGTGCATGGAGAGCTGGATGGCCACAGAGACAGCGATTCAGATGAGGCTACCCTGTCCCTGGGGTCACACATCAAGGGATGCTACACTGGGCAGAGTCCAGCAGTTAACAACACCTGGGGCAGTGCAGACAGGGCACTTTGTCGATCTATAAAAGCAAGGTGGTTAAGGCATAAAAAAGACTTTAAAATATATTGTGCCACTGCCTGCTATATCTGCAGATAATAAATCACTAATCTAAATAGACAACACAATAACTCCTTGGAGCAGAAAGGTAACCAAGACCCAAGGGGAGAAATCGTCACCCGGGAGGGTGCCTGCTGCATCACTGGCAGCAGCCGAGCCAGACAGGCTGTGTGCTGAAGCGGGGAGGTGAGAAAGAGAGAGGAACTTTTAGAAGAGGAAAGCTCAGCCCTGGCCTGCCAGAAGGTGAAGAATGTCCTCAAAGTTGCTTCTGTCTCAGGTGAAACACAGCTGGGCACAGCTGGAGGAGATGCCACAGGATTTCCTGGCCAGAGGAGAGGATGTCTTTTGCTGTGCAGGAGCTAGCCCTGGCTAGATACACGGCTCTTGGTGCTGAGCCTGTTCATCTGCTGCCCAGGGAGGGGAGCAGGCAATAGTACGCAGCAGGTGACAGAGGTGACAGGCAGAGGAATCTGCCTCTGGGTTTGCTATGTGAGATGGGAGAAGGCTGAAATCTCTACATTAAACCAGACATGTGGCAAAACCACTGGGGGTGTCCAAGAGGAGGGTGGCGTGGTTCATTGGCTACCAGTGCTTCCTGTGCCTGGGCTGCCCCCACACCAAGCCAGTGTGGCTGGTACCACTGTCCTGCCAGGAGGATGGATTTCTACTGGGGCAGGGCCAGGTGAGTTGGTGGCTTGTCTCAGCATTCCAGGGATGCACAGTGCCATGGAGAGCCAGGCAGGGCAGAAGCAGAGCAATCACACTTCCTAGGAGCTGGAAGCTGGGTGGTTTGGCTGTCACTCAGGGCTGCCCCTGGATGTGGCACATCCCTGCAGCTGCACCCCAGCAGCCTGTACCCACCCTGTGCCCCAGCTCGATGGCAGGGCAGAGGTGCCACCTGGGAATCCCAGGTGGGCAGAGTCACTTGTTTATGCCGTATCACTCAAGCAGTGAGATAATGTCGGTGTTATCTATGCCTCAGACATCCTGTTTGGCAAACCCTTATCTGTGCCGTGCACATGTGGCTGCTGCCAGGTGCCAGTGAAGGCAGCACGGGCAGAGGTACCCGTGTGGCAGTGATGCCCAATGAAAAGGCTCTCCAGCACCAGCTTCGCAGTGAAGGGCAGGAGGCAGATAACTGTCCTACAGCTGAGGTCAAAGAAACATCTCTTAGAGGGTCTGCATAGGGTGGGCAGGAGTGATTTGCCTAAAACTACCCCTATACTCCACAGCCAGGGCTGTCTCAGTGCCTCAAGGTCCCTGTGGGTGTGGGTATGGGGTACCTGCCCCTGGACTTCTGGTCCTGGCTAATGCTCGCAATTATCTCAGTCCCTCCAAGCCAGGGTAGCACCCTTAATGGATCTCCTGGTGTCCAACACTTTCAAATTGTGAGAAAGATTTTATCAGGTGCTGCCTGGAGCAGGGCAGCAGCTGATAAAAGGGTTGAGAAGGAGAAGGGTCTGGCTGACTTGCTGAACGGCACCCTGCAGCTCAGGGACACCTTTTGGGTCAAGCACTTCCTAGGGACCTGTGGTGGAAGGGAATCTCCTGCCCGCGCTCAGGAGATGCCTCTAAAGTCTCAGGGAGAGCCATTGGTGTGCCCAGGGAGGAACGGAGGGATGGCAGCAGCGGAACCGCACCTAGGCTTGCGTGTCCTCGCCGGTCCCACCCCGCAGCCCTGACGGGGCGGGATCGGGTACCCACAGCGGGCTCCGGAGCCCTCCCCGGGGCGAGCGGGGCTCCCAGGAAGGTGCCCGCTGTATCGCCGGCAGCAGAGCCGGCCGGGCAGTGCCGATTCCGCTGCGGTTTGCGGAGACATTGCATAAGGAGGGGAACAGGCTGTGCCAGCCTGGGCGGGAGCCTCTGCCCTCAGCAACACGCGGCCGCGCCCCTTCCCCAGCAGCGGAGCCTGCGCCAGGGTTCTGCGGCACTGAGAGCATCGCCCCGACCGGTGCTCAGCACTGGGGCACGGCAAAGGAGGCACTTCTCAATTCCAGGGCCTGGGTCCAGAGGGACAGTGCAGAGGTGACACAAGAAAGTGTCTTTGTACCTGTGCCCTTGAGCCCATGCTGAGCAAAGCCCTAGCAGGCAGCTTGCCTTGTGCCCTCAGAGGGATGGCTGGGGGACAGGATGCACCATCCTGACACCTGGGAAATCCCCACACTGCTCAGACCCTTCCTTGGTGAGCATAAGCAGCAGGATTCCAGCATGTGCCCTGCAGCATCCTGAATCCCTTCCAGGGAAGCCAACCTCCAACGTTGGAAATAACCTGAGATGTGAAAGGGCTCCTGGTGATTAACCAGCTCCCAGCAGAGATTATTCGGGTCTTGTCTCCCTCCTACCATGTGTACCTTTTTCCAGTACCTACAAAGTGAGCCTCCATCCTGCCAAGTATCCATCCTGCCATGTAGGACCCCCTCTCCAAACCCAGGCATGGGGCACCTGTCTCCACACAGAGCTCAAACTTGGTCACATACTGTCTTCGCAGCAGCAACAGACTCTGCATCTCAGACACCTTGATTCCATTTTTAAAACAATACCTATTTGTAGTTACCTATTTGAAACAAAACTATTTGTAGTTACAAAAATAAAAGCAGGAGTATTTTTTTCTACTGCTCTGTCCTACCATGTTCCAGCAGAAGTGAAACTGGCAGGGGCACAGCCTGCTCTGCCCTGGGGCTGTGTACCCATGAACATCCCTCTGAGTCCCAGCAGTGTCGCAGCAATAGGAGAGGCAGCTCCTGCCCTGCCCAGGTGACCCTCAGCACTTGGCACTGGTCTCCTCCCCAGCAGCTGCCCCTCAGCCTCTCTGCCTGCCTGGCTGCTCCTTCCCTTCCCATAACTGACCACTCTTGGCAGAGGAGCTGCTAGAAAACAAGTGTTCCTGAATTATTGGATATACAGACTCAGCAATTCCATAGAAAGAGACAACTATATTAAAACATTTTTCAAGGAAGATATCCAAAGACAGGAAACAAGGTTCATTTACATTGGCCAATGATAAAGTAATTGTAGTGGGTTATGGCTCTTGTGGAATGGGTTCCTCCTTTTGTCTAGAATGTCCTGGTGGAGCAGCATCAGTTTCTTTGGAACTGGAAAATACATGTCACATGCCTGGCTCTTGTTTGGCTTTAGTTGGAAATGAGCAGAGTAATTTCTGCGGAAAACCTGGCCAAGGCAATTCTACTTACAAGCAGGACAGGGTAAGAAAAGATTTATAATTATTATAATGATCCAAGGGGCCGTGGACACAATTAGACATGTTCCTGAAACATTGGTGGAAGTTTCTAAAGGAAGTTAATAAGTCAGGGGGAAGTTCCTCTGGCATATTCCTGGACCTTTCTCATGAAGACTTAAAGGTAAAGACAGAAAAATACATTGCGTAAGTAACTGTTTATAAATGGTATATAAAGATTCATAGCCAGAGCAAAACGCCTCCAAAAGAGGAGATCGTCTGGCATGGGAGCTGGGAGGCTGTGAGCCACCGTCCCACTCGGCCCACAAGGGTCCTCATCACACCTCAGCCTCCTCTGTCCTCCACCAGTGTAGGTGCTGCCACATGGACACGGTGGGTCAGAGAGGTCTTGGTGCTCTGGGCACCATGGACTGGGGCTGAACACTTTTCAGGGGGTCCTTCTCCTCCTTTTGGGGTGCTCGGGCAAGCCTGTCTCTTTGTGGGTCATCTCCTGTGGCTATCCCGTCCCCATGGCAGTGGGGATGCAGCCAACTCCCATGCCATGGGGCTGCTGCCAAGCTAGGTCCATGAGGACCGTGGCCAGTGCTGACCCCACTGTTTGCCTCCAGCCTTGGGCTCAGAGAATTGTTTCTTGAGGCTGGAGAGTCCTGTGGCAGGGGAGGTGAGGGTGTGGGGCAGGATGTGGGCTGGCAGCGGGGTTGGGATGGGAGGGGAAGAGGCCAGGGTCAGGGAGCGATGTGCTGCATGCTCAGAGGAAGCGTGAGCAGCTGTCCCCACTGAGGGACAAGTGCCACGGGCTGGGCACGGTGCAGCCGCAGCACCAACATGGTAAGTCCTGCTCCTTTCCTTGGGGATGACTGAGGGTCTGCCTAGACAAGGGGATTCGGGGAGGGCAGGGCTGTGAACAGGCACTGACAGGAACCACAGCTGGGGGCTGTGGGACACACAGGCTGCTCTGGTGGCACCCTGCCAAGCGACCCCAGGCTCGTGGGACACTGCCAGGCACACAGGGCACAGCTACTGCAGAGGTAGATGCCAGCCCTGGCTGGGCAGGAAGGGGCTCAGAGGCACAGGACTTAGGGCCTCCCACCAAGTGCCTCACTGCAAAGGGCCCTTCCTGCAGCAGAGCTGTACCTGGCTGGGAGCATTGTGTGTGCCTGCGTGCCAGTGCCACCAGCGACTGCCCTTGTGTGAGCCAGGACTGCCTGGCAGTGGTGTGGGTGCACATGTGAACCCCTTGGGATATGCACGCTCATGTCTCCCTCTCTGTCAGGGCACTGCTGAGGGACTGCGATCTGCTGGGAGGACATGGACTCTGGGCTCTTGTGGCACCTACCTGGGCATCGCTGCCATTACATGGGGTAAGCCAGCCACCACCCACTCAGTAAGCCCAGTGTGACCCTGCTGCCAAGGAGTCTGCAGGTCTGAGAAACCGAAGATATGTATCATTGTTATTTTGGAGGCTCATCAGCCCATCCCCAGGGCTGAATCCCTCTGGGCTGGGAGGGGGCTGCCCCTGCTTGTACCAGCTCCCTCCAGGCAGACCATGCTCCCCCGGGAAGGGCCAGGCCATGGCTGAGGTCCCTGCAGGATGTTTGGTTCCCCAAATGCAGCATGGCAGCTGGTACTCTGAACTGTGCTGTGAGCCAGGGAAAGGCAGGGGAGCTCTACCCACTGCCTACACCCACACTTGTGCTAGGGAGTTGGGCATGGATGGAGTCACAGGACCCATGGGTGTAAGGGTTCATAGCATAGGTGATGCAGCATCACACAGAATTAGAGCTTCTAATTGACATCAGGAGTATAGAAACTAACTTGTTTTTGCTGCCTGTAGGGTATTTCCTTCACATACTGGCATTGCACAGAGCAAAACCTACTGGTGCCTGCTCTCTCCCTGGAAATTCTCTGTGAGCAGAATTCTTTTCCTAAGAACCTTAGTGACTGAACTAAGGAACATAAATGAGGAAAGTGCGGTGTCAGGAGGAGGCTGAGATTTGGCTCTGAAAGAAAACAAAAAGGCAAATGAACCTCAACTGTGGAAAGTGCTGAGCACCACCCTGGGAAGAGGTATCAGGACTGCCATGGGAGCCAAAGGGTCAAAACACGGGAAAACAGCAATCATCTAGGGGCTCAGCACCAGGTGGGGCAGGACAGATAGCATAAGATCAGGGAGATGAGCTGTGCCATAGAGAGGATGTAACTGGTGGAGCTGGAGGAAAGAGGTAGGGGAGCATGTGGAGAACAGACATGGAGCAGATGTCAAACTTTGGCCCTTCTCATTTTGGGGATGGGCTGTGTGAGAGTAGCAGGCAGTTGCCTTAAGCTGTGCTGGGGAGCAGCAGGGGCCAGGAGGAGGGTGGTGGGACCTGAGGATGAGGCAGGCTCCCAGAAGGTGCCCTGAGTTCCTGTCCTGCAGCCCCAAATTCCCAAAAGGTAAAGAGGGAAGCACATTTTCCCCAGCTTCAGTTCTGTTGAACAAAGAGAATAGTTTGCTCTTTCACAAGAAAAACCAGACAAATTTTGGGAAATTACTTACAAAAATGTATAACAATGGACCAAAGTACAGCCCTAATTAGACTTTAGAAGATGTGCATCTAGTTAGACTTTAGAAGATGTGCATCTAATCTGCAGTGCCCGAATCTTTGCACAACCACAGCATGATAAAATGTTCTCCTGAGATACAGCGTGAGCTAGGCTGGTTGTTTGGAGCAGACATTGATCCCCATCTTGCTTTCTGCACAGATGGAGATATGGTATCCCCATATCACTTTCTGCAGTTGTGGAGATAGCTGTCCTGGGGAGAATGGAGTAAGCTTCTTTCTGTGTCTAAAACCATTTGATTGCATAAGGCTGTGGTGTGAAATACTGTAAATAAGAGCAGGGTTTCAGCAAAGTGCCCTTCACTTCTGGGTGTGCCCTTCGCTTTCTGGCTTTGCCCTGCCTCTGGGTATGACCATAATGTGAACTTGTTTTTCAAAGACCTTGTTTTGCAACACTGAGTTTTACAAGACTCTAGACCATCTCTGTCTCAGATGAGCAGGTTGGGGTCCAAATGCTTTTGGGGGTGAGGGCATATTGGCTGCTCTGCCTTGCTCCAATCTGGCTCTCATATAGCAGGATAAAGCAAGAAAACTGAAGTATACACATCTGCACTCAAGGGAGGAACTGTGTTTATGGAACCATCTTGAAATGGGACTTTCCTCTTTGGGAAACTTTTGTGGGCAGGGGAACAGGGCCATGGGGCTGAGCTTTCAATCCTTATGCTGGAAGAGGGTTGGCATCACTGCCTGGGGCTCTTCTGCATCCTGTGCTCTGTCTGCCCTATCCTGTGCTGCCCAATCTCACCCTCCACCCTGTCACCTCCACCTTCCTCATCCCTGTGCCAACCCCCTCTGTCCTCAGCTCCTTCTGCCGATGTCTGATCCACCCACGTCTTTGTGTACCCATGGAGTCCCATTCTCATCCACACTCATCCCTTCATCCAATCTCTTCACCCAGGCAGCCACTGGCATCTCTTGGCCATGATGTCAGGTTTGGCCCACCCTCATGTCCCAAGGGATCCCATCCCTGACCCAGCTCCCATCCTTTCTGCATCAGTCCCAGATCTCATTCTCTTTCACAGGGATGGTGCTGTGGGTGGAGGTGGATGCCTGGACTTACCACTACAGTGACCAAGGGGACTACACGTGGGAGCAGGCCAGGAATTTCTGCCAGACCTTCTTTACTGACCTGGTGGCAATCCAGAACCAGCAGGAGATCGAGTACCTCAACAAGAGTCTACCCTACCATGGGCGCTACTACTGGATTGGCATTCGCAAGCTGGGCAGTACCTGGACCTGGGTGGGCACCCAGAAGGCGCTGTCCAAGGAGGCAGAGAACTGGGCAGAGGGGGAGCCCAACAACCGCCGCTCCAACCAGGACTGCGTGGAGATCTACATCCAGCGGCCACAGCAGTCCGGCAAGTGGAACGATGAGCCCTGCAACCGGAAGAAAAAGGCACTGTGCTACCGGGGTGAGCGGGGCACTGTGGACCAGAGCTGGACTGGGTGGGCTGGGGACCTCGGCAGGGTGGCCAGCAGCTCCTGATGACTGTGCCCTGTGTGTGCAGCCTCCTGCCAGCCCTTCTCGTGCAGCCAGCGTGGCGAGTGCGTTGAGACCATTGGGAGCTACCGCTGCGAGTGCTACCCTGGCTTCCACGGCCCTGAGTGCGCAGATGGTGAGACATCCATCCCCTCCCCTCCCTCCCTGATGGAGAGTCACCTCTCCATCATTTGCTGGTGACAAAGCAGGGTTCCAGTGCTCCTGACGGGCTGTGGCACCACGTCTCTCCCAGTTCTGCAGTGTGCCAAGCTGGAGCCCAAGGGAGTGCCCATGAACTGCAGCCATCCCTACGGAGACTTCAGCTACAACTCCACCTGCGAGTTTGGGTGCCACAAGGGGTTTGAGCGGCAAGGGGCGGGCGTGCTGCGGTGCCTGCCTTCCCAGGAGTGGTCAGCAAACATTCCCACCTGCACAGGTAGGGCCTGGCAGGGGCTGAGGGTCTCAGGGATGTAGCATTGATGCTTTGAGGGGGACCAGCCCTGTGTGCCCAATGCTGTTCAGGCAAGTGTTGCTGTGCCCTTACCAATTGTGGAAGCATCTCCTGGTGCTGCACGTGGGGTGGGATTCCTGAGGAGGCTGCAATGAGCAGAGCAGCTGTGAGGTCATGTTCTGCCTGGCCATCCCAGTGCCCATGATTTCTGCCCTGAATCCCACTCAGATATCAGCACCTTGTCTATGCTGTCCCACAGCCACGGGAATGGTGTATCCTGGCAGGGGTGGGCCACCTTAACAGAGATAAGGACTCATGAAATGAGGTGGGTGGGACAGAGTGTGGTAGGAAACCACAAAGGAGAGAAAGCTGTGGTATGTTATGCTGCTAGAGCAGAGAAAGTCTTCCTGTCAGTGGCTTGAGGTTTTGGAGCCAGGCACCAGGCATCTCAGAGAACTGCCAGACATTTTTGGGGGTGGAAGAGCCTTGTTCCACCTTTCCTGTGCTGCTGTGTGGTACACCTGCAGCCTTGCACAAGAGTGGGGTGAGTTGAGCAGACATGGGACACAACTGTGACTAGGAAGGAATGGGAGTGCGCAGCATTTTTGTGTATATATATTCTTTTTAAAATAAGCCTGCCTTAAAGTCAGAGCTGCTGCTGCTGCTGCTGTGCAGGGTGGACCTGTGGTCCAATCCAGGACCTTAAGTAGCTGAGACCAGCAAAACTGTCTGCAGTTAAGGGGAACAGAAATGGAGATGTGATGTGACTGTTCTGTAACTAGTATCCCCAGCAGGGGCAAGGGCAGGAGCTGGCTCCCAGTTTTGCAAAAATCCCCACAGACAAGCTGGGCTGAGCCTGTGTACTCCAGGCTTTATAGGCTCCCAGGGGCTTGCTTTCCCAGCTTGTTGTTTTTTTCCTGCTGGCTGTAATATGACTGATTTTTGTTTTATTGCAAACAATCAGATGAGTCAGTTGGTTGCCTGTGCTGATAACAAAATAGTGTTAGCAAGCATTGCCAGCTGGGCTTACTCCAGAAACAAGCAGAGCAAGGCTGCAAGCAAGGCTGGTGGTGCAGCAAGGACTGTGTGGGGAAAAGCTGCCTGCTCTCCCTCAAACTCTTCCCCACACCTGCCTGCAGCCATTGTGTGCCCATTGCTGGCTGACCCACAAGGGGGCTGGGCCAGCTGCTCCCACCCGCACAGCACGTTCACCAACAGGCACCTCCGGGGACTGGGAAACCAGAATTGCCTGTAAAATAGCTATAAAAGGAAAAGTCTACCCAGGAAAGCGTTTGGTGTCAGTTTGAAAGCAGAAGATGCAGTGAATGCAGTCTGTCTTAGCTGAGCTGGGTGGTGGTATTGCCCTGCTGGCACTGACCTTTGGTGCACAGGCAGCAGAGCCACTCACCCCAGAAAACTTTGGGTATTGCCCTGGCATGCAGCAAAACACACCCTGGGAACAGGCAGGAGAGGCTGGTACACAACCTCTTTAGCCATTGCAGTGCTTTGCAGTCCCAAAGCCATCCTCCTGCCACTGTGACAAGGACAGAGGCTGGTCTCTGCTCCAGTAAAGGGAGAGAAATGAATGGGACTGCAGTAGCTGCCGTCCTGCCTCCCAGGGGCTTTGGCCTAGGCTAGTGAAAGGGATAAACAGGGCTCTGGCAGAGCAGCAACTTTCCCAGAGGAAATCACTTGTAGAAAAATCATTGCACCAACTACAGTTTTGAAGAGGTGAGTGTGGGTATGATTTGATTTGGATTCAGCCTAATTATTAGATTTAACCTCATCTACCCCATCTCTGAGTTCTGCTCTCCCATTGCAGCTGTCACCTGCCCAGTGCTCAGAGCACCAGACCAGGGAGAGATGAACTGCTCCCACCTCCATGGGGACTTCAGCTTTGGCTCCACATGTGCCTTCTCCTGCCAGAAGGGGTTTGTGCTGATGGGGCCAGAGAGCCGTGAGTGCACAGCCACAGGGATCTGGACAGGGGATGCAACAAGATGTGAAGGTAGAGCTGCTGCTAGAACTCAAGGTGTCACTGCCTGTAGGGTGACTCTAGGGTTTCCCCAGTCTCTCAGACCAAACAAGCCTTGTAGTTCCCAGGCTCATCCTTGAACTGTTTCTATGTTCCTGTAGCCACTGCCTGTCCAGTGCTCAGTGCTCCAGACCAGGGGGAGATGAACTGCTCCCACCTCCATGGGGACTTCACCTTTGGCTCCACATGTGCCTTCTCCTGCCAGAAGGGGTTTGTGCTGATGGGGCCAGAGAGCCGTGAGTGCACAGCCACGGGGATCTGGACAGGGGATGCAACAAGATGTGAAGGTAGAGCTGCTGCTCAAGGTGTCACTGGCCTTGAGCAGACTCTGGGATGTTTGTTCTCTTTTTAGTTCTCTCATCACAAGAATTCAGCCTCATAGTCCCCAAGCTGCTGCCTGAAATGTGCATTTTTCCCTGCAGCCATCAGCTGCCCGGTGCTCAGTGCTCCAGACCAGGGAGAGATGCACTGCTCCCAGATCCATGGCAATTTCACCTATGGATCCATGTGTGCCTTCTCCTGCCAGACAGGATTTGCCTTGGTGGGGCTGCAGAGCCGTGAGTGCACAGCCTTGGGGACCTGGACTGGGGACACACCACACTGTGAAGGTATTGCTGCTGCTCAAGGTGTCACAGGCCTCTGGTTCACCTTGGAATGTTCTCCAGTGTTCTGGTTCTTTCATTCCAACAGTTTAACCTTGTAGTCCTCTCAAGGACTACCTGCTCAAACTTCTTCTCCACCCCTGCAGCTGTTACCTGTCCAGTGCTCAGAGCACCAGACCAGGGAGAGCTGAACTGCTCCCACCTCCATGGGGACTTCAGCTTTGGCTCCACATGTGCCTTCTCCTGCCAGAAGGGGTTTGTGCTGATGGGGCCAGAGAGCCGTGAGTGCACAGCCACGGGGATCTGGACAGGGGATGCCCCACGCTGTGAAGGTAGAGCTGCTGCTAGAGCTCAGGGTGTCACTGGCCATGGGGTGACACTAGGGTTCTCCTGAAGCTTCTCAGGCTGAATAGTTTAGACTTGTAGTCCTCAGACTCCTGCTCAAACTTCTTCTCCACCCCTGCAGCCGTTACCTGTCCAGTGCTCAGAGCACCAGACCAGGGAGAGATGAACTGCTCCCACCTCCATGGGGACTTCACCTTTGGCTCCACATGTGCCTTCTCCTGCCAGAAGGGGTTTGTGCTGATGGGGCCAGAGAGCCGTGAGTGCACAGCCACAGGGATCTGGACAGGGGATGCAACAAGATGTGAAGGTAGAGCTGCTGCTCAAGGTGTCACTGGCCTTGGGCAGACTCTGGGATGTTTGTTCTCTTTTTAGTTCTCTCATCACAAGAATTCAGCCTCATAGTCCCCAAGCTGCTGCCTGAAATGTGCATTTTTCCCTGCAGCCATCAGCTGCCCAGTGCTCAGTGCTCCAGACCAGGGAGAGATGCGCTGCTCCCACCTCCATGGCAATTTCACCTATGGATCCATGTGTGCCTTCTCCTGCCAGACAGGATTTGTCTTGGTGGGGCTGCAGAGCCGTGAGTGCACAGCCTTGGGGACCTGGACTGGGGACACACCACACTGTGAAGGTATTGCTGCTGCTCGAGGTGTCACAGGCCTTGTATTAAGCATGGGATGTTTGCTAAAGGACCCTCTTGGTCCTGTTCTTTCAACAGTCTAGCCTTGTCATACCACATTTCAGCTTGAAAATGTTTCTCTGTCCCTGCAGCTATTACGTGCCCGGTGCTCAGAGCTCCAGACCAGGGAGAGCTGAACTGCTCCCACCTCCATGGAGACTTTACCTTTGGCTCCTCGTGTGCCTTTTCCTGCCAGACAGGGTTTGTGCTGATTGGGTCAGACAGACGCAAGTGCACAGCCACAGAGACATGGACAGGGGATGCCCCACGCTGTGAAGGTAGAGCTGTTGCCACAGCTCAGGGTGTCACTGGCCGTGGGGTGACACTATGATGTGTCCCCAGCCCCTTGGTCCCAACAGTGTAGTCTCCAAGGCTCCTTTCTGAGCTGTGCCTCTTTACCCTTGCAGCCATCAAATGCTCAGCACTGACCACCCCCAAGATGGGCCAGGCCACCTGCTTCCATCTCCATGGGGACTTCACCTTTGGCTCCACGTGTGCCTTCTCCTGCCAGGTGGGGTTTGTGCTGATGGGGTCAGAGAGCCGTGAGTGCACAGCTCTGGGGACCTGGACTGGGAACCCCACACATTGCAAAGGTAAATCCTATGATTCACACATGTCTGAGAGGGCTCAGTTGTAGCAGAGTGCTCTCCCCCACATCCTGGGCTATGTCAGTTTATCCCCTGGCTTGCCAGCCCACGTGTCTGCATCTCACTGCCCTCAGTCCTGTCCTCTTGATGCTCCTGCTGTGCTTTATCTCCAGCCATCAGCTGCCCAGTGTTGTCCCCCCCCAGCAGAGGCCAACTCAGCTGCTCTCAGCTGCACGGGAACTTCACCTACAACTCCACATGCACCTTTTCCTGTGAGGAGGGGTTTGTTCGGATGGGAGCAGAGATGCTACAGTGTGAGGCCACGGGGAACTGGACCAGGGATCCCCCTGTCTGTGCAGGTACAGTGGGACCCCCCAGCTCTTCTAGCACTGCGGTGGTTCCAGCTTTCCTCCAAGCACATCTTGAATGTGGTGGAGGGGGATTCCCCGGGGGCTTTGAAGTGCCGGAGTGCTGACAACTTTCTAATGCATGGCTCTGTGGCTTTGTTTCAGAGGATGGTGCCTTCCTAAAGCAAGTCCTGGCTTACAGCAGCAGCTCGGCTCTGGCAGTAGCTGGTCTTGTGCTCTCTGGAGGGCTCATTGCCCTCCTTGCCAAGAGGCTCAGTGACAGAGGTACAGAAATGTTTCCTGCAGCCCACCCTAGCTTTGGCCAAGGGCTCTCAGGCAAGGTGGTGACAGTCCCAGAGGAGGCTAGGGTGATCAGAAGCGTTTACCAGTGTGACTGCCTCCATTCACATGTTTTATTTGCTGAGTTGCTTGAGTCCTTGGCAATTGGTCCAGCTGAAAATTGGTCCAGCAGCCAGGTTTGGAGGGCAGAGCCAGATAAAAAACATTGCTCCGAAGGAGGCAGCAAATGCTTGTTAAGGCAGCACCACCTCATGCCTGTTAAACTCTGCTCAATTTCAGATGCTGCTGCTGCAGCTTCTTGTGACCTTCACTAAACAGATCTGGTTATTTCTTTTCTATGTGCTTTATCCCCATGGACATTTCAATACTGTTATCAGAGGAGAAGAGGAAGCTTCTGAAACCCACCAGGTGAGAGCCATGCTCTGCAGGAAGGTGGCTCTGCTTTGTGACTGCCACAGCCCTGTGTTCACCCTGCTGACACCCAAATCTGCCTGTGTGAGGCTGGTTTTTTATTGTAGCATCCCTGGGGCTGTTATGGTTTGACACTGGCACAATGCCAGTGCCTCTATGAAAATGTAATTTTTAAATTGAATGTTGTGAAATGCGATTGAGAACAGAGCAAAGCAGGCTTAAGTTTAATAACAAGGAAAAAAAACTTTATTAAGCTATTATTACTATATTATTATAAAAGGAAAAAGAAAGAAAAAATACACACAAAAATCAAAATGAAAACTTTTTAAAGTATTCTTCTCACTATTCAATTTTAACAAATTATAGTGAGACACAACCTGGACTTTAATCAGGTTTCTATTTTTTAGATAATTGATTTTTAGTTTATTGAGGGAGAGAGGAGCCCCTCCTGTGCCACAGACTCTTTAAGAAATATAGCTGCCACACTTTGTGTTTTTATGTCACACATGGCACCGCTCGGAGAAAAAAGTTTGTTAATGGTGACTTTCTCTTTTTTATGTACAGTGCTCTTATTACTAATGTATGGATGGACAGACTGCTTTGAGGATTTTTCTTTTTAAGGATGCCCTGCCAAGAGGGGAAAAAAACAACAGTTTAGTTTTTTATTTTTGGGACTACAGTCCCCCCCATTTTCCCTTGGGGCTGAGGGTCTAAGAATAGAGATCTTCTTTTCTTTTTTTTCTCTGAAGACAGGGGGCACCACTATAAACCTCTCTATTTTTTTTCTGTTCGCTCTACTTCTGTCTTTTCTCAGCTGAAGCAGGTCTTTTTGGCTCACCAGCATCTTCTTAAAATACAGGTTTTTTTGGAGGAGAAGATTGGTTTAGTTTGTGGCTATTAAGAAAAAGTCTAACTAAAAGCTACTCTATTATCTCCTCTTACTTAGAATTTCTCCTTCTAACATCCCAGGGCCTAAGCTGTCTCTCTTCCTCCTTTTTAAACTGAGGAGAAGAAAAATTGTATAAAGTTTTTATTTTTTAAGGAAGGGTTAAAAGTCCCGACTCTCAAGGATGGCTCACCTCAGGCTCCAACTCCCACAGGCAGCTGGGCACCTTGTGCCCCCCCCTTCTCCTTCCCTGCAGTGAACTGCTGATAAACTGCTGCTGTCTCTTTCTCTCCCGAGAGAGAGAGAGACTCTGGGGGGGGGGGAACGGAGACATCCCAGATTTTTTTTTACCTTTCTATCTGCAGGGGGCCAGCCCGGTTCTAGTTTTTTTACCTTTAGGCCTACCGCTGAAGGCTACATGGCATTCCTCTCCCCAACCCAGCTCATCACAGGGCAGGGGAGAGCCTGCACTGGGAATTCTGCTTTTAACCCCTCTGTGTTCTCAGAGACATGTCTACCTTTAATTGGGGAATATTTAAATTGACCTCTTCCCTCTGAGAAAATTTTTTTTCCGTGTTAAACCATGACAGGGGCCAACAGGGCTGTGCTAACCCCTGGCCTTCACATACTCCTGCACTCCCAAGGTGACACCCTTGTGTTTGCTTTCCAGTGACCTGGGAGCACCAGGCACCTTCACCAATGCAGCATATGATGCCAACCTGTGAGGTGAGGGCGGGCGGGACCCTCGCAGCACCCTGTCCAAAACTCACCTGGGTGGCCATCCTCCTGGCTGGGGTGCTCCATGGTGGGGACCCCACTTGTGACTGAAGTGGGTAACACCAGCTCTATCTCTCCTGTGCTTCCAGCCTGCCCGAGACTGAAACCCACTGTGTCCCCCAGGGCTGCAGGCCCAGCTGCTGGAACTGCTGATGGAGCACAGAGGGACTCCATGCCTGTGGGTGTAGCCTGGACCAGAGCTGCCCCTGGACACTGCCACCATGTGCAGCATTCCCCGGGAAGGGGAGCTGCCTCCAGTGCAGGCAGCTGGAGACCCACCAGGGGCCAAAAGCCACGTGCTAGGGGCAGCCTGCCAACCAGCCCTTGGACATTCTCCCACCAGGAATTTGGATATTTCCCAGTAGCTGCTGCACTCATGCTTCCATCCATGAGCTTGTGTCAGCGGGGTTTGAATAAACGCCTTTGTCTAATTAATGCCTCCTGTGTGCCTGGGGCGGATGGGGGAAGTTTTCATTAAATAATGTGGCCAACACACCGAGGGAAGTGATTCTTCCCCTGGACTTGGCACTGGTGATGCCACTTCTGGAGTGCTGTATCTGGTTCGGGGCCCCTGAGTTCAGGAAGGACATTGAAGTGCTGGAGCATGTCCAGGGAAAGACAACAAGGCTGGTGAAGGAGCTGGGCGCGTCTGATGAGGAGCGGCTGAGGGAGCTGGGGTTGTTTAGCCTGGAGAAAAGGAGGCTCAGGGGTGACCTCATCACTGCCTGAAAGGAGATTGAAACCAGCTGGGGTTTGGCGAGTTCTCCCAGGTTAGTTTGGAGAGGACACCTTGTCTTAAGGTTCAACCAGGGGAGGCTCAGGTTGGACACTCACAGGAATTTCTGCAAAGAAGGGGTGACTGGACACTGGAAAGGGCTGCCCTGGAGGTGTTTGAGGACTGGACACGGCCCTCAGTGCCTTGTCCTGGGTGACAAGGTGGTGATGGGTCATGGGCTGGACTCGCTGATCTCAGAGCTCTTCTCCAAGGTGACTGAAGCCGCGGCGCCCGGCGGAGCGCGGCCGTGCTGCTTCCGCCCGCCGAGTGTCCGCCGGCGGCCGCCGTGGCGGGCGGGCCTGCCCTGCCCTGCCGGAAGCAGACGTGTGTTTCGGGAAGAACGGGAAGCGATGGCGGCGGCCGAGGCTGAGTGGGAGCCGGCGGGGCTGCTGCCCGCCCCAGGGGGCGGCCTGGACTGGGGTGAGCGAGGCTTCGGGGGGCCGGGGCCGGGCCGGCGCTGAGCCCCCGGCGGGGCCGGGCCGGCGCTGAGCCCATGTTCTCTCCGCAGAGGCGGTGCTGGGCGAGGAGCTGAACGAGCTGCTGGGCGCCGCGGCCCCGAAGGACGAGCCCGACGTGAGTGCGGGGGATGGCGGGGGCCGGGTCCGCGCTCTGCCGGCGGCGAGAGCCCCGGCCCGCTCGGGGGGCCTGGAGCAGCCTGGCAGCAGAGCGTGGCCGCCTGGCCCGCAGCCCGCGTCAGCGCTAGAGATAGCGGTGGTGAAGCGCACTGCGGGGCACGGCCGCGGAGCCGAGGTGCAAAGCAGGGAGGCGCGGGTTAGGGTGAGGCTGCGAGGTGCCGGGGAGGAGGAGTGGCGTTGTCACTGTCCCGTTGAAGGTGAACCCCGCAGGGCAGTGCTGGGGGAGCGCTGGCTCAGGGCTACCTGAGAGAGAACGGTGGGTATTTTACACTACATCCACCAAGGCTCTTCTTTATCCCTTTGCCTGTTACATTACTTCTTGTTTTCTTCTTTAATGTAGGAGTTTCTCCAAAAACCTTTGCTTGCAACCTTCTCCATTAATCCCTGTCGTTTTCAGTGCCCACTTGTCCATACTGCTTTTTCTCTCCCGGGGCATTTACCTCGTGGATTCTCCTCTTCATGTTCTTTCCCTGCCGTGTCTCTGTTCATTTTGTGCCAATCGACCACCAGCACAAGCCCGGGTTATCATCTCATGTAAACCCCAGGTTCTAAGGGCATTCCTGCATGTGTAGAACCAGTCACTGGAGAAATTGTGGGAACAGACTGTACAAGGGAAAGGAATTCCCCATCAGCAGGTCAGCATTACTTGCCTGGCTGAAGGCTCTTAATGCACAGCTCACATTGTGGTTTTTTGGTCATTCTTTCTTGAAATGTGCTCTGATGAGCTTTCTTTACATTCTAACTTGTAAGTACCATTATCTATGCAGTTTGCAGTCTTTTTGAGCCTCCCTTCACAAGACAAGTTGAGAGTATAAGGGAAGTTCTAATTGCAGATTGGTTTTCAGGAAAATGTTGTATATTTGTATAAGCTGCGTAGGTCATGTTTATATTTTCATGCAAGTGCTCATAAAGGGCCACATTTGCATAGGAAACTGAGACTTAAGATGCACAAGCAGAATAAATGGAGAAAATCCCCAATTGTTGTTTTAAAGGTCATAAATGATAAATAATATGTATGGAGTGATTTTAGCCTGTTTGTTTTGATTTTTGTTGGAAAAGGAAACTTTTGGCGTCCTTGGCTTTAGATGTTGACATCAGTGTATGCAAGTATAGGGAGACCTAACACATACCGTTAATCAGGTCTTGGGCAAATCAATCTTGTGTCTGTTTTCCTGCTGGTAAACTGTCCCTGGTGCTGCTTTTGTTTGTAAAGTGCTTTGAGATGTAATGGTGGAAGAGCATTAAATAAATTTTTCAAGGCAGATGATGGAGAGGATGGCACCAGGTTCCCAAGACTTGTGTTTTTTGTGAGATGGTTCAATGAACTTAGAACTTTTGCTTTACAAATTACAAAGAAGAGTATGATGATTAGTGATGATCTTAAACTAACCTGACCCTTCCTACTGGTGTAAGTTTAAAAGATGCCTTGTTTTGTGTATTTCAGTTGAGAATTTCTCCTTTAAGGACTTTCACCTCTGCATACCTTAAGGCACCTGAAGTGATTGATAGTTTTTGTTTTCTGGAGCTGTAAGAATGTGAACATAATGGCTGATGGTGTCAACGCATCTTTCTTTTTGTCTTGTCTCTTTTTCTGAACTGTCGTTTCAGGAAAATGATCTCTATAACTTTCATTTTGATTTGGATTTGATGTCTTGGGACTCAGACCTTTGGAATATTACAGGCCATGCTTATGCAGGTAATTAACCTCCTATATTTTGCAGGTGTTGCTCTTCCCCTCCTGCCCCACAAGGGTGAGTTCTTAAAACTCCTGTGGAACTGTTTGATGCCCTACAGCCTTTTGCTCTGTGATAAGAATTAGGCTGTGTTTCTCTAGGATGGGTACAGCTGGCAAGGGCTGTTCTACGAGCCAAGGTGTTTTATACCTTTAATCTCCCTATGTTTTCTGCTGTACTTTGCTTTGGGAATGAAATATCTGGTGTAGGGCAGTGTGTTCTTTACTTTTCCCATTGCTAAAAACTTGTGCAGTGACATGTCTTTACCTGCCTCTTGCAGATGCAAACGTGAAGACAGAACCTTTATCACCAGCCACTTCCAGCTGTTCAGTCCCTTCACCACCGTCTGTGGACTCTCCAGTGCAGAATGTGCCTGTATGCAACCCCCCCGCCCCGTGTAACACAGGCAGCAACAACTCTAACAAACCAAAAGCCCTGTGATTTACTCCTCTGACCAAACTTATGCCATAAGAAGAAACAGCTTATTTTCCCAATCCTTGCAAAAACCTGTCAATGGTGTTTTCTTATCTCTTCTCTGTGAGCCATTTGAATAAGAGCATGTGTAGCTCTCTTTCCTCAGCTATGTTCATTAGCCTTGTTGCCAAACAAAATGCCTTCTGAAAGCTTCTGGGTCTAGCAGGGTTGGCCTCTGCCTCCCATTGCTCTGCTGATGGGGAGAAGTACTTGTTGGTTTGGTTTTTTTTTTTTTTTAGTGGTACCTGGCATTGGCCAGAATCAAATTGCAGAGTAAAACCTTTCTCTTGTTGCCTGCAGCAGCAACACGGATGTGATGAAAAGCAGATATACTCTGTCCTGCTGGTAGATACTGCTCTGAGTTTCTGAAGCGTTAATTTCCTGTGTTTTCTGTCTGCAGGATGATGTGGACTTCAGCTGTAGCTCCCAGATGTCTCCCATATCTCTCTACAGCAAGAGCTGCAGAAGCCCTGCATCCCCTGAAGGAGATGGAGGGAAGAAGCCTGCTGTGAGCATCTCTTCTCGATCTGGTATGAGAGAGAAGGTTACTTTCATCCTATAGATAATATATGTGTTGTCTTGCATCCAAATTAATGTTATTGACTAACAGACACTGGATGTCCTATCATTTATGACTTGGATATTTGATGAGATGTGTGTGTTTTTAACAAATATTATAGATGGATAAAACCCCCACATTAAAAGCTACTTCATTATTGCTTGAATTATATATTTTATGCCTCTTGGTCCAATTCTGACTCTTTTTCCTTTTCTAGCAAATAATTCTGCACGGAGCCTGAAGAAGTGTGGTCAGACAGTGTCCAGGCCTTTGATACAGCCCAAACCCCTTTTGCCTGCTGTGCCTGAAGCTCAGGCTAACATTGGTATCCCAGCTAAAACCATCATTATTCAGACTCTTCCCACGCTTGTGCCACTGCCAAAGAATCAGCCAGTTGTTAACATCCAGCCAGCACCTCCTAAAGGTAGGTGAATTGTCTTGACTGGGCCGGGTCTTGGTGGTAGCATTGTCTGTTTGGGATGGCTGATAGGATGAAGTTAGATTTGGTATATGAAAGAGGAGGAATAGGAGAAAAAAAGAGTTCTACATGCATTGCTGGATAAGCTTTAGGCTGAGAAGATGGCCTTACTCTTGTCTTGTCCTGTGAGAAACAGCACTCACATAGGCATAATGTAAAATGGAAGACTGGATTATAGAATTCCATTATTTGGAATGGAAGACAGAGGCTATGCTGAACACTGACATCTGTGGAGATAAAACTACTGATTTGGAAGGATCTGTAAGGATGCTTTGCTCTGCTCTGCTTGCAATGTCAGGTGGCGCGTAAGGTGATTGCAGTGCTGTTCTGTCATAACTGAAGGAAGATCCAGTAGAATCAGTTAGGATGGCTTGAAGGGAAGCTGGAAAGCTTGGGAGAAGTGTTATAAGTGTTTTTTTTACCCACATGAAACTCTTCCACAGGATGGAGGGAGCCTGGGTTTATGCCTTTTTAGCTCACTAAACAGCATTAAATAGAATGTTGTAAAATCTGCTAAAAATTGAGAGCTGTGTCAGAGATTAGAAAAGTTGCTGATGTTAACAAGAGGAAAGTGACTTCCTGCCCCGTGATAATTCTTCATTGCTACAGTTAACCTGTTACTGATTTTTGAAGCAGTTCGAGCTTTAATTTCTGGATCCAAAGCATTTTTTCACTCTCTGCCTAGGGCAGTAGGGACACTGTTTGCCTTGCTGGAATTGCCAGCTGCAGTTACTCGTTTCACCAGCTGATGGCCACAGTCCCTTGCAGTTGATTGCA